GCCTTGAAATCAACAACCCGGGTGTCAGTATATAATCAGATGAAGGAATGCTTTTTGTGCAACTAGGTCAGACAGATGTTATTTTTACACAAAAGTCATTTATCACAGCGCTGAAATTCAGTTGAAAGTTATTAAAGAACTCTGTCAAAGTTCTCTGTCAAAGTTGTCTGTCAAAGTTGTCCATGGGTCAGCAATTTTAACATGCCCATCCACCATCAATTAAATAAGTTAAATAGATTTATATTAACATTAGCATAACATACATTTCATTGACCAATGGTCAGGATTGTGGTCAAATAAATGTGGATATACACCCCCCCCCCCCACCCTTCAAAAAAATAATAAATTAAATTAAAATTCAGATATACTGAAGAGGATTGAAGCTGAGAAAATATAACTGTTCTAGGAGTGAGATTAATACTCATGGATTTAATTATTGAGACAACTATTCCTGACAACACTGTCTTTACCCTGTGTATGGAAGATTACAAAAAGCAAACAAGAAAATAAAAGGAAGATTTCAAAATGAATTTGTTGTGATAAATCGTTCACTTCTAATTTCCTTTTGCCACTTACTTTACAACATTTATAGGCGAATGAGCAAACAGGATTTCAATAAATAATAGGTTATGGCAGTAGCACCAGTAAAGCAGGTAGCCCTGGTAGCTACATGGTTCTATGATCACAGTTGGCATGATGCAGAATACATAAGTAAGAGGTAAGTAGTGTCATCCCATTGTGGGGAGAAGGTCAAGTCGAAAAAAATGGAATGGGCTAGGGAAAGGCAGGAAAATTGGAGCGGCTGTGTTGTTAGAGTGGGAGCGGCCATGTTGTTTGAGTGGGAGTGTTGTTAGAGTGGAAGTGGTTGTGTTGTTAGAGTGTGTTGTTATTGGAGTGGGAGCGGGTGCGTTGTCTGTCAGAGAATATAACTGTTCTGAAGTTGAATCCAAGGATATTCAGTGTCATTTATAACACTAATGTTAACTTCCTGAGGCAGTTGCCCCACAGAACAATGGGGTCATTCCCAGCATGATGGTGCAGTAGTTACACCACTTGAATATAGTCAATCTGCCACAATTTGTGACAACATCTGCAATAATATAGCCACTACCTCAACAAGTCACAGTGCAGGCAACAACACCTGCAATAATATAGCCACTACCTCAACAAGTCACAATGCAGGCAACAACACCTGCAATAATATAGCCACTACCTCAACAAGTCACAGTGCAGGCAACAACAGTTAGAACTGGACTATCTATTCATGGATGGTCTACTTTAAACAAATACTCATACAAAGAAGAGACTTTAAATTCAATTCAGAACTCTATGTGGCTAGTGATAATTGGAACCAAAATCCTCCACATGTGGCTAGTGATACATTGAACAATCATCATCCACATGTTGCTAGTAATACATTGAATAATCATCGTCCACATGTGGCTAGAAATACATTGAACAAGCATCGTCCACATGTTGCTAGTAATACATTGAACAATCATCATCCACATGTTGCTAGTAATACATTGAACAATTATCGTCCACCAGTCTTCAGAGGGTTGTATGGCTTGAAAGCTATTTATAGAAATATTTTCTTTTCTATTTGTAACATTCAGCTTAGGGGCAGTTACTAACACTAAGACCGCACGCTTACTAAGACAACAATGTTACTCATAAATACTAATGATACAATTTAAAGTCACGAACTCAGTGATTCAAACAAAGACAAGTAAATAGAAATCCATGGAATTTCTTAAATAAGTCAAAACAAACATTCTTAACCAGATGTTGTGCTTGATGGTTGAATCCACCTTAGTCAAAGACTCAAAGAACCACATCTTAAAATATTGCAAGAATGAGTGAGTACTGCTATTGAAAGTTCGAGAACACTTTTCATAAGAATGTTTTTTAGCTACCCAACTCTCCATCTATGAAGATGTGAACATCAGGAGTGCATTACCTACGGCAAGGTTAAACTGTGGGCGTGGAATAATGCTTAACCCAAAGAAAGGACAAAACGTGGCTTCTACCAGGCCTGCGTGCTGCACAATTCAGCTTCTACCAGGCCTGCGTGCTGCACAATTCAGCTTCTACCAGGCCTGCGTGCTGCACAATTCAGCTTCTACCAGGCCTGCTTGCTCAGTACACAATTACATTAGGTTAATGGGAGAGTGTTACTGGTGACCCTTCCAGCTGGCGAACAGTGGTGAAATAGGGAGCCCATCTGGCAGAGGTTTCATGAAACAAGGTCTTGCCAGGAAAGAGTAAACAAGCATTCAAGGTTCTCCTGCCAAAAGTGCGGCTGAGGCTGTCACTCCATTCTGTACAGCCGACATTGTCACTCTATTCAGAGTAGTCGATACTATCACTCTATTCAGACTAGACAAGACTGTTACTCCATTCAGAGTATCTCAGACTGTCACTCTATTCAGAGTAGCTGAGACTGTCACTTTATTCAGAGTAGCTGAGACTGTCACTCTATTCGAAGTAGCAGAAACTGCCCCCCTTCAGAATCCTCCTCCTCTTAAGTAACTCACAGATGTGCAAATAAAATCAGAAACTACAGCATTGCCTCACAATGACGGAAGGATTCAAAGTACTGGTAATGAATGTTTTAAACTTTAAATGTCAGAAGCATTTGTGTGACATATACTCTGACTGAATGGCATTTGTGTGACATATACTCTGCCTCTGACTGATGTGTATTTGTGTGACATATACTCGGACTGATGTGTATTTGTGTGACATATGCTCTGACTGATTTGTATTTGTGTGACATATACTCTGACTGACTAGCATTTCAAACTGCAATCAAATATGTCATGATATATAATACAAATGTTAATACCAGACTACCATACAGTTTAAGTTAGGAAAAATATAAAATAAAGAAACACATTCCTATATGTCAACTAATAAAACACATACCTATATGTCACTAATAAAAGACATTCCTATATTTCAGTAATAAAACACATTCCTATATGTCAACTAATAAAACACATTCCTTATTGTCAACTAATAAAAGACATTCCTACATGGCATACATAAATGGTGCAGTAACATATGTGATCACCATAATACAAATAAGCTCAAGGACTAAACCACCAGGATACAATGCAGTACAAATTGGCATGTTTTTGTATGGCATGAATAAATATTTATAGCAGGTTCTTATCAGTAAAATATAATGACATTTTATGGACTTAAGATCATTTCAAATTTAAAGAACATTTCTACCACATATATATGGCAGAGCAATATGTTTTTGTTAAATAGAAACTACAGTTAAAATTGTTGTCACTGTCTAGAAGGTATTCAACCAATAGAAACTACAGTTAAAATTGTTGTCACTGTCTAGAAGGTATTCAACCAATAGAAACTACAGTTAAAATTGTTGTCACTGTCTAGAAGGTATTCAACCAATAGAAACTACAGTTAAAATTGTTGTCACTGTCTAGAAGGTATTCAACCAATAGAAACTACAGTTAAAATTGTTCATCTGTTAAGGAAGGATTTATTGAATCTATCTGTTCTATTTTACAGGTCTTCATTCAACTCAAGAGAACAATGAAACAATGCTACCATTAGGACCAGTTCATTGATAGAACAATGGTACAATGATACCATTAGGACCAGTTCATTGATAGAACAATGGTACAATGATACCATTAGGGCCAGTTCATTGATAGAACAATGCTACCATTAGGACCTGTTCATTATGAGAACAATGGTACAATACCATTAGGGCCAGTTCATTGACAGAACAATGGTTCATTGATATTAATTTTAAAATAACTAATTACAGGAATATGAATTTATTTTTATTTTGTTATTGTAAATGATAGAAAGAAAGAAAGCATTCAAAGTTGAACTATAAATATTCAAAGATCAACTATAAATATTTCAAGTTCAACTATAAATATTCCAAGATCAACTGTAATTATATTCAAAGTTCAAATATAAATATTCCAAGATCAACTATAAATATTCAAAGTTCAACTATAAAGATAATAGTGACTTCATTCTAGTTGAACTATTAATAAATAAGAGACTTATTCATCAAGTAATTATCAGCTATTGCCATAACTACTTTAAGATTTATGGCAAATAGAAAATACTGTAACAACAAGAAAAATAATTGGTCAATAAATGTTAGCAGGAAATGTACAGAAAATTAATTTATGCTTTTGGATGTTCTATACGTGGTCGGATTAGGAGAAAGTAAGAGATATTATTTAGATATTCTATAGGTGGTAGGATTAGAATAAAGTGGGAGATATTATTTAGATATTCCATAGGTGGTAGGATTAGGAGAAAGTAGGAGACATTTGTTTAGATATTCTATACGTGGTCGGATTAGGAGAAAGTGGGAGACATTTGTTTAGATATTCTATAGGTGGTAGGATTAGGAGAAAGTGGGAGACATTTGTTTAGATATTCTATAGGTGGTAGGATTAGGAGAAAGTGGGAGAAATTTGTTTAGATATTCCATAGGTGGTAGGATTAGGAGAAAGTGGGAGACATTTGTTTAGATATTCCATAGGTGGTAGGATTAGGAGAAAGTGTGAGGCATTTGTTTAGATATTATATAGGTGGTAGGATTAGGAGAAAGTAGGAGACATTTGTTTAGATATTCTATAGGTGGTAGGATTAGGAGAAAGTGGGAGAAATTTGTTTAGATATTCCATAGGTGGTAGGATTAGGAGAAAGTGGGAGACATTTGTTTAGATATTCCATAGGTGGTAGGATTAGGAGAAAGTGTGAGGCATTTGTTTAGATATTATATAGGTGGTAGGATTAGGAGAAAGTAGGAGACATTTGTTTAGATATTCTATAGGTGGTAGGATTAGGAGAAAGTGGGAGAAATTTGTTTAGATATTCCATAGGTGGTAGGATTAGGAGAAAGTGGGAGACATTTGTTTAGATATTCCATAGGTGGTAGGATTAGGAGAAAGTGGGAGACATTTGTTTAGATATTCCATAGGTGGTAGGATTAGGAGAAAGTGTGAGATCATTTATTTAGATATTCCATAGGTGGTAGGATTAGGAGAAAGTGTGAGATCATTTATTTAGATATTCCATAGGTGGTAGGATTAGGAGAAAGTGGGAGATAATTTGTTTAGATATTCAATAGGTGATAGGATTAGGAGAAAGTGGGAGACATTTGTTTAGATATTCTATAGGTGGTAGGATTAGGAGAAAGTGGGAGACATTTGTTTAGAATGCACATAAGAAAAAAAATATAGTAGGAAAAGTAAATATTTTGCTAATTTCTTTAAGTTTAAACAAATTATCAGAGTCAAATTGAAATCTTTTAAATAACATAGGTCTTTCTAATAAAATAAGAGACCATCATGACCAGTTAGAAACTATCATGACCAGTAAGAGACCGTCATAACCAGTAAGAGACCATCATGACCAATACTTAATTTGCTATTAATATATTTTCCTTCTTTAAGAATTAAAGTGCAAGTTTTAATTTAATAACTATTGCTGTCTGTGTATATTAAGGTGGTGCTGCTTAAAGTTGTGAATGCGATGGTCTGCGAGTCCCTGGTCCTCTAAACAGGTGAAAAGCAAACAAAGATTTAAAAAAAAACAATGATTGAATTTGAGACCAGCCCATGGGTTAATGCGTGTCTGCTGTGCAATGGAACAGTTTGAGAAGCACTGTATTAAGGCACTCTCATATTGCAATATAATTGACAAGTATAGAAATTAGCCATTTATTATCAACAGTATCTGAACATTTCTTTCATTAATACAAGGACACCATTATCAATTTGGCAGCTCAATATTCATTAATACAAGGACACTATTATCAATTTGCCAGCTCAATATTCATTAATACAAGGACACCATTATCAATTTTACAGCTCAATATTCATTAATACAAGGACACCATTATCAATTTGCCAGCTCAATATTCATTAATACAAGGATACCATTATCAAATTAGCCGGCTCAAGGTTCATTAATACAAGGACACCATAATCAAATTAGCCGGCTCAAGGTTCATTAATACAAGGACACCATTATCAAATTTGCCAGCTCAATGTTCATTAATACAAGGACACCATTATCAAATTAGCCGGCTCAAGGTCCATTAATACAAGGACACCATTATCAAATATGCCAGCTCAATGTTTCCAGCATATTAAAACATCTTTCCATTAAATTAACATTGGGACATATTTATAAGAATGTTTTTTGTTGTACTGATGAAAGCATTTGCCGAAATGTTTGACTTTGTCAAGCTTGACCTCTACTGTTTTATGTACACAAATTGTTTGTGCTTCATTGAAACATGTTCATGTCACTGGTGTCCTTGTGGTTTCAACGTACAGCAGGCAAGTGTCAGCAGTCCTTATCCCATGTACACACAATAAATATAATACTTTATAGCAATGGCACATCATGACTGCCGGTGTATCAGACGAGGTTGAAGAGAACAAAGTAATTTTTGTGACTGTTGATATATCAGACGAGGTTGAAGAGAACATAGTAATTTTTGTGACTGTTTATATATCAGACGAGGTTGAAGAGAGCAAAGTAATTTTTGTGACTGTTGATATATCAGACGAGGTTGAAGAGAACAAAGTAATTTTTGTGACTGTTGGTATATCAGGCGAGGTTGAAGAGAACAAAGTAATTTTTGTGACTGTTGGTATATCAGGCGAGGTTGAAGAGGAAAAACAATTATCAGACATTGATGAAATATTTAAGTTAAAATAAAATAAGAAATAAATAACAAGTATACAATTAAAACAGCATGTCACCAGTACAACAGCTTGTGACCAGTACAACAGCATGTCCCCAGTACAACAGCATGTCACCAGTACAACAGCATGTCATCAGTAAAACAGCTTGTCACCAGTACAACAGCATGTCACCAGTACAACAGCATGTCATCAGTAAAACAGCTTGTCACCAGTACAACAGCATGTCACCAGGCAATTTTTAATCTTAAAAGTAAGTACAAATGAGATTGATGTGTTTAAATGATCTATGACATTGACTTTTAGTCCAGTTAAACATGATAGTGCTCTTAGCAGAGATCTAATCAAGGCTGATGGAGTCCATGTCTCAAACAAAAATCACACTCCATTAACATTATTAACATTTTATTTTCATTTTAGGCCTTAAATTAACCCCCATCAGTAAAATAATCTTTTCCCACATTTGTATGCCTGAGATTGTGTCCTATTCCATTTAGTCTTTTAAATAAAGTAATTAATCACAAATAAAACCAAAGAAGGGTGGAGCTGATAACTATGTTGAGCCAAGAATCTGACTGCTAACTATGTTGAGCCAAGAATCTGACTGCTAACTATGTTGAGCCAAGAATCTTACTGCTAACTATGTTGAGCCAAGAATCTTAGTCTTTAATTTAATATAAATTAAACATAAAATAGACTTCGGGCTCAACTGTTTATGTACTGTATAGTTGTACTGTATGGTTGTACAGTATAGTTGTACAGTTTTGTGAGAATTCAAAGGGTTTTAAATGACATTTTATGAACAACATCGGCTTAATAAACAAAAGAGAGCTGCTACCTTCTTTTGTAAGAAACATCATGAACGGGCATTTTATTTTAACATTAAGAACCAATCAGCTGTCAATTTCTACAAGTATAATGTTTCTTAGAACCAATTCGCTTTCAATGTCTACAAGTATAATGTTTCTTAGAATCGATCGGCGGTCTATTTCTACAAGTATAATTTTCCTTTATTTGTAATCTGAGGGTGTTTAAAAACAATAAATACACAGATTTAAATCCTACATTGCTGGTTCAACCTGCACAATTTTAAAGTAATACCAGCTTACTGACAACCTTCACAATTTTCTTTGCTAATGTGGTTATATACATAATTAGGAGAAACATAATTCTAAATGCTGACATTGAAATAAAACACAGCCAATTTTTATAAAGATAGTCAACGACCAACCTTAACACACAAAAAAAGAGGGGAGGTGGGTGAAATTTTACAGAATTCAACATGCCAGCACGTACATATGAACAGCAGCAACATCTAAGATGGTCACAAGCCATCATCAAGATTTGTTATGAAGATAATCCCTTTTCTTGTCGATGGAGTCATAAATGTTATTATTGTCACTATCCTCTAGATCACTTTCGTCATCAAAATCAGAGTCTGAAACTATGATTCTTTCGCTGGGTTTAAACTTGTTTCTGTGAATGGTCGATGGTAGAATGACGTCCGATTCCTCCGATGTGACAGATAAATATTCATCGAGTGTTCTTTCTGCGCATTTTGAAATGAAACGTATAAATGGTCTAATGTCTCCGTCATTTGCCTGCTGTAGTGTTTCATAATAGGTTAACCTGTCACTGACTTCAATTGAAACGGGTGGGAATCCTGCTTGCATGAGAATGAGATTCATCAAGAGACGAGAGGTGCGTCCATTGCCATCGTAAAATGGATGGATGGCTACAAGCCTGTAGTGTGCCAGTGCGGCAAATTCAATAGGATGAAGTGCGAGTCCTTCTTCTGAATTGAGCCATTCAATGAGTTGGTTCATGTGTTCACGCAGATCACAGGCAGGTGGAGGAGTGAAGTCCCCTACATAAACCTTAAAAAGTAAGATGATAAAGATGAAAATGTGCCAAAAAAAGATAAATGTACTCAATAAATTCATTCTATTTCGTTACAAAAGGATTTTGTCCACAGAGAGTACAAACAAGAAAATGCATAGGTATTTTTAGCACGGTTATGAATAAAATAAAAGAAAAAATATTTATAGTTATAGTCAGTTATTTTGTTTTGAAAGTAAAAATATGGGATTGGTAATTTTTTTTATGTTATAAAATTCTTTTCTCTTTGAAGTATTCTAAAGTAATCCATAAAAGCCCTGCTACCAACCTGTGTTGTACGGAATATCCCTGCCTCAAGTGGATCCACATGACCCAGTACTCTGGTATGGACGTCTAAAATATCTTGAAGAGTGAGACGTCCAACACGTCCAACAAGAGTGCTGGACAAAAAAATAATTTATTGACATTTTTTTTTTTTAAATATAAACCGAAAATTGATTTTAAAAAAATATATAAATGTATCAGAAATCAATTGAATACTTATTACCTGTTTATATAACTTAATGCAGAATCAAGTCCAAGAACCTCATTCTGCTCCCTCAGACTTTTACCTCCAACGGCTAATCTGGTTTCAACGATTGATCTGGTCTGTGCAAGGGTCAACGTGTTTCCTTCAATAGCATTAGTGTGATAAATGTGTGCAAAGTATGCTTCCCTTTTTGCTCGACGTAGACCTGGGTGATTGTGGGGAATTGTGTATAGCTGCGTACGCTTTTGATCAACTCTGTTAAAACGTGCTTGATCTATCTCCTCGACAATTGGAGCTGTAGAAAAATAGATATTAATTATTTTTCTTTAAGTTTTCAACCAACAGCGAGGAACATTTACTAATGTTAACATTAATTCTGATTCTTGTCGCCTTTTTTTTTTTGGACTATATTTTGAGGGCCCTTGATCTATTTATTGATCATTCTAGCTTCTGGTTTGAATTCAGAGTTTGCCTTCTCTTAGATGGGTTACCATCCAAAACTAGCGAGTCCCATCCAACTGGGGTGCTAGGTATGTTGGCTTTGATGGGGATTGAACTCCAGCAACTAAAATGCTTTCATCTAACATTTTGGTACAAGAATAAGGAATAATTAACGTTGACAAAACACACACAAAAAAAAAACAACTAATCTAAAAAATAATGGACAATTAATTATTGGAAGGAGAACATAAATTGATTAAATGTTAAATGTGGTTTGGTTAAGTATTTTATCAACAAAAGTTTTGTGGAAGCACTTATCCAATTTGGTGGCAAATTAAAAACTTTAACAATGTAAAATATCTTAACTCTATTTTTATTGTGTGCTGATTTATCATCTTTCACAATTACAGTGATACAGACGAGTCAGCTAAATGAAATAAGGTCTTTATTTTTAAAGTAATTCACTTCTGCCATAAAAGCTCACTTTCGTGCAACTATAAACAGACGATGCCATGATGCTCATGCAGGGCGCCTATCATCTAAACTGCCATACGCTCAACTGCTAAAATTTACTGTTGCTTCCACGAGAATGACACTCTAATTTTTGTAGGAAACTGTATGCCTTTATTTTCTATCATTAAAAAGTTATGTGAGCTCAAAGTTCATCATGGCTTTCCGAACTCATGCTGAGTTTACTAGACAAGCCAGTGCAAATGATGAACCAATGTAACAGAATCATGCAGTGGAAATTTTTAGTGGAAAGTCATATTAATGCAGGTATTCTGTAAGATATAGCTGAAACAGACTTTAAAAATTTATATTGCTACAAAGGTAGATGATACTATTGGCCGGTGCAATGACTATGGTAAAACACATTTGAATTTGTTCTTGTTTTCTTCAAAATAACTAGTACATTTCTAAACAGTTAGGTCCCTTAGCTTACATATATTAGAAATTTTAATTGAAGTCAAAAGAAGGTTAGTAAGGGTTGAGAACTTTCCATTTCTTAATAAAAACTTTCTTTTGTTTTTAAAATGGATCTGAGATTTACGGAATTATTTCCTACCTGTTCGTTTACGGTTTTGTAAAGCTCTGCTATGTTCTGGGCTATTCTCCAGTGCTATATGGTACATATGATCTGCCTTTACTATATCATGCACATGCCATTCTAAGAACTCTCCAAAAGCTGTAAGTATATCAGCGTGAGAAGGGTCAAGTGCAAGGGCATGTTGGAATACTTTCATTGCTTTATCTGTCTTTCCTCTATTTTGAAGATCAAGAGCTATATTCATTGCAGCTACTGCTTCTCTCTTAACATCTGAAATAATATAATATATTGAAATGAATCAAATAATCTCTTGTGTAGAGACATATATATAATGATTATAAAATATTTTAATTTTCTTTTGTCTGAGAAATGTGAAACAAAATAAATAAAAGCCACCCCACCCCTTCCCCCCGCCAAAAAATTATAGATATACTTTTTATCATTATTATTCTGCATGAAAATAGATATGGTAGAATTAGCATATGGTTTTATGGCCACGAATGTATCTATTTAATAGTTGACTATTATAACCTTAGATATGAAAATAGGTGCTTTTTAATGGTAATTTTAAAGAAAGTGACCACTTTTAAAAATCTAAAGCATGATCCTATGCTAAAATTTGCAGCTGTTTCAATCGATAAGAAAATTAGCTGGACTTACAAAATGTCAAGATAATTTTTTTGTAGAATCAAACACTATATGCATCCCTAAAACAATAACACAATAGAAGATAAATCCAAGGTTCCTTATAATTATACATATTCTGAGATTAAATTGGACTAGGAATCATGTGGTATGATTATGGGATTATGTAGCTATGTAAGGTGACCATGACCTTGAAACAGTGAGCACAACTGTGCTACTTTGTTTCCTCCTTCAAAACTGAATTTTTGGGTCCCATTTATCATCTCAATATTTCCTCTAGAAGAATTACTTTTTTAGTTTAGAAAATATAAAGTTATGCATGTTTAAAGAAGAAAAAAATAATGAAATAAAAATTGAAAAAAAAAAATCTCTTAAATTTAGAAATAATTCAATAAATTAGGCTTTATTTTTAAAGGGCCAGAATTAGCATCTGAGTGCAACAGGATTATGTTAACAAGAAATTCAAAAAATTTCAGATTCAAATTTCAAATCATAAATAAAGACATAGACCTTCAATATAAAGGAAGTAAAATGAAATTAAGAGAGTTTCTACTTTTATATAACGTATTATGTGGTTCACATTTATTTTTATAATTTTAATTGCAGTAGCTGCCGATTACTTTGGCCAAAAATGCAGCCATAAACCCTAATGATCTGCAGTTATGGCAGCTCATGGGTTAAATAAGATCAGATATTTGACCCAAAGCCAAAACAGTTGGCGTAACTAGGCTAGGTAGGACTCTGACTAAATTCTAGGGGCCTAATAATTTTTTGGTCAATGCAAAGGAGACCTGCCATGACTTCATTTACGTGTTTTTGTTAAGGTTCTGTTTTGGATTCACTCCCCTTGTTTTTTGTTACTAGAGTTAAATGTTCCTTAATATGACGATGGCATGTTTTGTATTAAAATTTTGTTGGTTGATTAAATATTATTTTAAAATTTCATTGGTTGGGTAATTATAATATTTTAATTTTTCCGCCATATTTGAAATTGCAATGACAGCATTGTATTTTATTCATTTTCTGGATATTCTTTTCTGTGGAACCTGAAATAAAGTGTGTAAAAATGTGTTCTTATGAATCTGTAAGTTGGGTTTTCATTATTTATGTATTGTACAATAATTTTTATTGTTTTTCTTCTTTTTTTAGTTTTCTTGCCACAGTGTGTAACAGCAGCCGCACACATATTTTTTTATTTAAGGCTAGTTTTAGGGTTAGGTAAGCCTAGGTTTAGGGATACACTTAGAGGGTTCAGGTTAGGGATGGATTTAGGGTTCATGTTAGGTTTAGGGATAGATTAAGGGTTCAGAGATATGTTTAGGGTTTACGTTAAGTTTATAGAAAAATATCTAGATGGATACAATAAAGTAACTACTAGCACCACAAAATTTATGTACTCACGGAATTTGTTCATTAAATTTTAACGTTTTATTCCTAATTTTAGCAGATGCAAGTTATTTTATTTTTACATTGTCACCATTTGGTTTCCACGACCTATGAACCTGTAGAAATTCAAGGGTCACGGCAACCAAGAGATATGTCATGACATGTCTTCTTTGCATTTATCAATTTATTTAACCCTTTCATTACCGCTGGTTTTGGTCATCGATTTTTGCTGACTCAGCAATAAAACATCTTTTTTTTTTTTTTTTTTTTTTTATTTTAAAAAAAAAAAAACTTTTTATTTTTTTTTTTTTTTTTTTTTTTTTTTTTTTTTTTTTTTTTTTTTTTTTTTTTTTTTTTTTTTTTTTTTTTTTTTTTTGTCTCTCCAATAAAACATTTTTTTTTTTTTTTTTTTTTTTATAATTTAAAAAAACAAAAACTTTCTATATTTTTCATTCTCTATCCAATTCGCTTATTAACTTCTCTACAGAAAAAAGAACGAAGTGTCTACATGTCCGGCTCGCCGGACAAATAGTGTGGGAGATATACGTCCGGCAAGCATGTCACGTGACCGCCAGACGACTAGTAGGCGCTATTATTCCGAAGGAAATAGCTACTAAGATGATCTTGTGTGGTCATGTGGTAGTGTAACCGCTTGACGATTTTATATTAATGGATCAATTCCCCGCATAGGAACCATTTTTTCCCCCATTATAATTATAAATATTTTATATTATATTTATATTATCATGTTCATCAGCAACAGTAGTTTTATGAAAAGTTTTAAAATATTTTTAGCAATTTAAAGTTTAAATTGTAAAGTAAAAATTTTAAATTGTTTAAATTAAACAATTTAAAATCTTTTACTTTTATTGGTTGCCTACTGAATACTGGCCCCTAATTATATTATGGGTTGCTAGTACACAAACTCAAATAACAAACTAAACAAAAATGTTTACAAGCCACTTCACTTCAGTTTTTTTCTATCATTTGCATGCAAGATGTACATTACTTGGTAGAGAAATAGATTTTAAAATTAACAATAGTTTTGACTCATTCGCGGTCATGTGACAAGGCTGATGGACAAAATATCTCTCCCCACTTTGTTACGGCGGTCGTGTGACTTGGTCGCCGGACAAATAGTGCGGGAGATATACATCCGGCGCGCCGGACATATAGACACTGCCAAAAAAGAAATACATAGCATTGAAATATGACGTCGACGTGACGTCCTTGGTATTTCAGAAAAATTCTTTGTTATGATGACAATGTGACTGTGACGTCCTCGGTAATTGAAATAATAATAATATAATAATTTAATAATAATAAGGACCTAAGAAATATCTTTTCTAACCTTTACTTGCTGTAAATCTCTGCTTGTACCTTACACTTATAGACGTATCATAATAGGTATCTGAATTTGGTGACGTCTGACCACAGTTGTTGTTTTTAGTCCGCCATTCTTTATTGTTAACATCTTGTGTGGTGTATTTTTCAAAATTGTCAGGACAACCATGCCCTTCATTGTACAATATTTTACTGCCTATACTTGAGATCTTGTCTGAAAATAGTCCAAGCTTAACTTTGTTGCTATTTCCTGAATCGCTGTTTTCATAATGTAATCCCATACTTGAAAGAAGGAAGTTTAATAAATATTTAGGTAGAGCAGGCCTGCTAAAGATGCCCACACTAAACCCGAAAAGCAGAACAGCAGTCACTACCAAAACAGTTCGGATCTTAATTCCATTAATTATAAAGTAGTTGACATACAACTGCAAAGATTTTATATGATATTTCTTAAAAGTAAGTTCTTCATCAGTTTCAATGTTGTTATTTTCACAAGGAAATAACACTTTTCGCCTCTTCCTTCTGTTAAGAGACGATCCACTTGCCAGGTCCGCCATTATTTACCGGATGTTTTCATCATCACTGAGTATTTAAAATCAAATCAGATGGTAAAACAAATAAACTTGAATGATGTCCACAATACAGTAAAACTCTTCATTTAATGCATTAATTGTGTTCTGATTAGGTTATTTAATTTCTCCCCCCCCCCTACCCCTCCCATCAACGCCGGCCTTAGTTAAACTTTCGTTCTGTGCGAAGCACCTGTTCGGCGCCCCCTTCCCTGTCACTGTATCTCTCCCCTTATTACCGATTACGACGTAGGCTATGGAGCACATGTTAAATGATGCTATACATGAAGCTAACCAAACGCATTTTAACATTTTACAATTTAGACTAGCTTGCGATTTTGCGCTACGGAAAGCTTTGTGTTCCCCATATACTTTCTGCTGAAATAGTTGTAAGAGGGAAAAGGAACTACGGCATTAATAAGTTAAATTCCACGCCCTTTCGATTGGTCCCAAACCCAGTGTTAGTATCCAAATTAAGAATGCAACTTTCATTGTAAGAAAACTCATTGAATGAAAAACGATTGTACGAAAAGTTAGAATATCATTTCTCAACCCCGGACCCGAATTTTACACTTCACTATAATAAACTAAGGGAATTTTAATATTTACTGGGCTCCCCTATGGCCACGGCGCCCTATGCGAGGGCACAGGTCGCACACCCTAAAGGCTGGCGTTGTTCCCATCCATGACACACTATAGTTCTAGTAGGTTGTGTCCTACTCCACTTTGAATTTTCCACTTCTCTTCCTCTCCACATTGGCAGACTGAGTCTAAAACTATCTTTTTTTTTTTTTTTTAGAAATGTCTTTTTTCTTTTTGTACCAAATCTCTGAACAACTTAGTAATGGAAAATTGGTACTGTCACTTTCATGTGATTTTTTAGGGTTGCTTGCATCATTCGTTCTTCGTGAGACAATGCTGTAGCTTCTGTATTACAGTATTTGCACTTTCTCGGGTGGCTTTTGATGCCAAGCCTTGGGTGGCGGTCGCGGCTTCACTTCTCACAGGAGAACCCTAACCCTAACCCTAACCCTAACACAGGAGAACCTTGACTGATGGTTTTCTTTGGGGTCGTTCGCAAATTACGTCACGCTCGGGGGGGGGGGGGGAGTGTCTAGAATTTGTGACACATTGTGACAGGGGGGGGGGGGTAAAAAATTTGTGAGACGTCACTAATTTTTTATTATTTTTAAAAATTTAAAGTACCGTGAAATTTAGTGCGTACACCTTCTGCACATATCGAAAAACGACGCAAATACTGTTGTGGCCATTTGACATTCGGCTCGGGGAGGACTTCGTTGTTTTACGTTTGGTTTGACGTCACAGTTTTCTAATAATACTGCATCTTAATCGATTATGGGAAAATGTTTAAGATTAAAATAAAAAATCTTAGTTTAATCATGACAATTTTACGTATGTTTTGAATTTTTTTTTAGGTGTGACGTGACACTAAGTGGGAGGGGGGGGGGGTAAAGAATTATGACACTGTGTGACGGGGGGGGGGGCGGTCTGAAAAGGTCATTTTTGGCCTGACGTAATTTGCGAACGACCTCTCTGGCCTTCCGTATTATTCTTCATGCTTTAAGTACGGAACTTCGTTTCAGGCTGGGGGGGGGGGGGGGGGGTAAAGAATTATGACACTGTGTGACGGGGGGAGGGGCGGTCTGAAAAGGTCATTTTTGGCCTGACGTAATTTGCGAACGACCTCTCTGGCCTTCCGTATTATTCTTCATGCTTTAAGTACGGTACTTCGTTTCAGGCATGCTTTACTTCCCGTATTCAGTTACCGGAAATTGGTTTGAAAAAAATTTCTTCGACGGAAGTTTGATCGAACGGAAATCGGTCGAATTTTATTTTTAGTTCACACTATCAAATTTCGCGTCAAATTTATTTTTGAACGCTCTATACTATAGAGCAGGCCTGCACAACTCAAAATGTAAGGTGGGCCGTAATACTTTATGAAAACCTTGTGTGGGCAAAAAGAAAATAGGACATGGGGGAAAGCTATTACTATTAATAAAATAATAAGAATAAGGAATATTTCGTTACTTCGCGGCCCGCAAAGTGGGTGCTGGCGGGTCGCATGCGGCCTGCGGGCCGTATGTTGTGCAGGCCTGACTATAGAGTAAAACAAAATTATTTGTCTGTAAATAATGTAATCTATGAAAACACTCCGGATTGGGGGAGAGGGGGTCTAAGAAAGTGTGACAGTTTGTGACAGGGGAGATTGGGTGGTAAAGATATTGTGTAACGTCACACATTTTTTTTATCATACAAAAAACTGAAAGTAACAGTGATGTTAAAATTTCTGTTGAGATAGATGTATTATGGCAGAAGATTTCACTTTCATACAAGGTATATATATATAATATATATAAATCAAGCTTCTTCTAAATTTAAATGGATTCTTTGGTTCACAGAATGCCTTACTAGCCGAAATTAATTTTAAGAAAATTAGTTTCTACTTTTAATGTGTTTAAACTGATCTTTAAAAGAATTTAAAAAAAAAAAGTTATGTAAATTTTTAAATATTACTTGAAGGTTAAATAAAAATATTATTATCGGCACTAATGTTTACTTTGTTTAGCAGACTTTCATTGGTTTCAAGAATACATTTGACATAAAAAGCCTGTGCATTTTGTATTTCATTTATCGAGATCGGCATTTTAAGAGTTACCGTCTTTATTTTGTTATTTGCGTAGCTTCTTGGCCAATCAGCAACAAGTTGTTAAATAGGTCAGCAACCATACACATCAACATGGGCTACCAGACATTGGGAAATTTCCCAAAGCCTTGGGAATTCACGACCTCAACTGGGAGCTAAGGAATAATTATGAAAATCAGGCAAAACCTTGGGAAACTCCTAACTTAAATAAAAAATCATGTGAAAATTCATAAAATAAAGCAATAAAACTTGAAACTAATGGAATCTTTTTTTAAATAAGGGAAAATATAATTTTTGCACTACTTTTCTATTTTGAAATCTGCGAGGTTGGTTGTACCTTTTAATGCCACATAAGAAATCGTCTCATTTTAAAGAGTATATTGTTTTAAAAAGCAATTAATTTTAAAAAAAATTATAGCCATGCATTAAATGCATTTTAAGAAATAAATAGACATCATAATCATTAATATTATGGAGTTTGTGTAAAAAAGGTTATCTCGGAGACTCTTGTTACCCATTCAACCATAACCTTAACTCTACAATCCGACGGGGGAAAGGGCGGGTGAAGATTCATCAAAACTGACAGAAAAGAAGAAAATGATATCAAAGTTTTAATATGGAATGAGTAAAATATCCGGATATAAAGATCATCTACAGCAGGACAAACACAATGAAGATTGTAGCTTTTAAAAATATTGCACATTTACAAAGAAAAATGCAAACAAGTCCTCATTAATTAATAAAACTGAATAATAATAAATACTTGGCCTCGGTAAAAAATCAAAATAATTTTTAAGTCCAAATCCACATTACAGTAAAAGTCAATTTATAAAAAATATTCCTCCCGCTCCACCCTTTTCCAATATGCATAAAGTGTATTTAAATCAATTTTTTTAATCAATTTTTTAAAAAATAATTTATTTGGTGTGATAAACTTTGTGAAAAACAGTTTAATAGTTTAAAGAATAGTTTAAATAACTTCAGACAATTACCGAAACGTTTACTTGTGTATAATTAATGTATAATTATTATTAAAGCGTAAGGCGTAAGTTATATTGTTATATTGACACAATTTGTTCATGTCTTATTCATCTATTTTAAAGCTTTATTGCAGTCCAACACCTTTTATAATCAATTACTTTACGGTGAATTTTGTATGCATTAATTTCATTAAAATTAACTATTTAATTCGTTATTTTAATAACCTTGGGAAATCTTGGGAAAAATTGTTGGCAAAAACTTGGGCATTGTGAAAAGAGTCAGTGGCAGCCCTTATATCAACACTGAACACGATCTAGAACGTGGCAGAAATATAATAACATACGCTTTGCTTTTGTGATTGTTTTCATCATTTTTGTGAGAAGAACTGAGAAAAAGAACGTATGTTTAACTTAAAAGTCTTTTAAGTTCCATTAAATTTTTGACAATAACAAGTTCAAAATTGATCTTACTAAGATTCTTAGTAATCTAAGTGAAATCCCTTGCACTCTCATTCAGCATTTGCAAAATATTAGTATTAGCATTGACATCGAAATGTGATTCTTATATTTTTATTATTATGACTTCAGTATCAGACAAAGAAACATGTATGATGGGTATACCTGCATGATTTTAGTGATATATTTGTTGACTGCGGCTATTCGGACCCGGGTATCAGAAGTGAGAGGGTGGGTTTATTGTAAGGGCTTGTAAGACAAAATTTGGTATGCTATTCAGTCCCTGGTCCCTTTTGATTAAATAATAAATGCTATCGGGATGCCATTTGTGGTAGTTTATGTTCATTAAACTGAAGAAGTGGTAAGCCGAAGAAGTAAATTTACAAACATATAGATAGTCCATTCAATTATAGGTATAATTATATTTCATTTGATACCAAATTTTGTCTTACAAACCCAAAAATAATAATATTTTAAATATTTTTTTAATAACATCTCACTTCTGATACCCGGGTCCGAAAAGCCACTTTGATATTTGTAGGCTATGTATGCTTATGCCCCATCTTATCACTTAAAAGTTACTTTCATAGATATTAGGACTGCACTAGGTTAGCAAATTGTATTTAGACTATTTATTTAACTTTTAAATGCCTATCTAGGATCTATATTCTAATTAAATATTCTCTATTTTATAAATAATAATAATAAGCCTATACTGTAGTTGAATTGGATATTTAAACCCTAAAAAAGGGGCCGACTAATAATTACAATTAATATAGGCTGATATTAATTTTATATTAGAGGTACATTTGAGGGGGGGAATTTACTATCTCTTACTATTCTTTAAATGGTTTTCATCCATCTACGTGGAGCTACACAGAATCACTCAGAGGCAACGCCTCATTTGAATTGCATATTAACAATTTAACATTACAAACACTCTTTTAGTATCAAAATCAGTATGTGTTATTCAGAGTTAAGTGGGTATCTTTTCATATTCAAAGTGACATCTGTGGCCAGTGTTGTTTTCTTTTAATCAGGTAAATGCAGACGATGCTCCTATACTTATACTGTTTGCAGCAAATATTGTGTCTGTTCCTCCTCTCATATTATAATGTTAACTCCTGCATGAGACACACACATCTCTGCCTTGATTGTTAATATCCACTTCATTGTTTAACAACCTCCTTAGCTTGTTTGTAATCATTTTTGATATTCCATGTGCCATGTCTCTGATCATATTCTAGCTCAGATTCTAATACAGCCCTTTGTTCAAACAAATTATTTTATTTTCTTTCAAGTAGATTTCTTCAAATGAAGCTAAATTGGCTTTGGTGGTTCATCCATCCCTACATTTTTATAAATAGATTTCAACATTGCCTGATTTGACTTGTCAAAAAACCCACAAACTCTTCACTGAGATACTAAGGGTGACCTTTAAATTTCTTTCTAGCAACTTGTAGAGGAACGTGTTTGACTTTTCACATTCTATAAATTTTTTAAGAACTTCAGATCATAATAGGAGCAGAAATGCATTGAAGGGCCGTTAACTATAACTTGCTTTATTCTCAATTAGGAAGATGCATATTTCACGAAATCCTCGTTCCTCTCCTATAGTGATTTTGAATTGCCTACGCTACATCCATACTTAAAAAGAGTATAATGCTTATAATGCTTTTGCCATTCACCTTGTGTGTTGAAGAGCTATAGTGGTCATAAATCATCCAGGGATGGATGAGTTTCTCCTATAAATATAAAAGCCAACTCGAGAGATTCCTTGCAATAATTTCAGGGCTGCGTAGTTTGTTGTTGCCCATTTGAAAATTCCATGAGTCTGTTCTTGTCATCTTTTAAACTGCCCATAACTATTGATTTGTACTTATGATGATCAAGTGGTTGTTCTAAGTGGTAGTCAATAATCAAGTAATATAGATTGGCTTTAAAATAAGTATGAATTTGTGCTTGTTGGCTGACGATGGTTTCTTGACAACACATTCACTTTCTTGTTGAGTCTTCTTTCAGGCTTTTTCCTACTGTTTGCTATATATTTCCTTATCTTCCACCGGAGGGCAGTCCTCCCCCATATTACACTAGGGGTGAAGTATACGAATCCTCCCCATATTACACTAGAGCTGAAGTACGGTATACAAATCCTCCCCATTTTACAGTAGTGGTGAAAGTATATAATTATAACTTTACCACTTATGGAATGAATGAGTATAGCATGACTTAATCATAATTAATATTCCTGTAGCAGGCATCTAAGGACGGGGAATGTCCACACATGATGATGCATCAAAAGTACATGTTTTATGTTGAAAATAATAATAATTTGTTTTTTTCCAATTATTTAGAGTCAGTACTTGAAGTGGAGAAGGACACATTGGACGTCAACATTCTCAGTAAATGGCTTCTATAGGGGATGCAGCAGTATCAAGAAAGTCTTATTCTTCTTCTGACAAGAAATCAGATGAAAAGCCAGGTAAATTGACAGTTGGAGATGCATGTTTCTTTACCAAGGGGATAATAAAATGCAGCATTATGTATTGGGTAGGTTGGGAGTGATATAAATATACAATTAGAAACATACTTGAAGCTTGGAAAATGCTACGATTTATTGACCTAGGGCTAATGTGGGTAAATTAATGTGTAGAACTTTGACAATGATCAAAAGGGGCAGAGACGTTAAATGTATTTTCCTAGATGGGGCTAATGTTAAGATTATATCATTAGAAAATTAAATGTCATGTGCACAATAGAATTAAATTTCATGTTGCTTGTCGGCTAATATTTACCCAATTTTTCAGAAGTCACACAACCAGCGGGTGGTTTTTTATGGCGCATGTCAAGTGGTTTGTTCAATACAGCAACAGGAGCGGTCGGTTATGGAGTGGGTGGTGTTAAGTGGGTCGCTGGAAAGACGATAGATGTCGGCTCCGCTGTTGCTCATAAGACAATGGACGCAGGTGCAGTGGTGGCAAGTAAACTTCCGTTACCGTCGGTGTCCGTGCCTTTTGTGACTAAGAAAGATAAGAAGGAATAATGACGGAGGAGTTCACTTTTCAATTAATGTGCTTCATTAATGAGATAAACTTTGAAAGCTTACATTATTATAAGCTTATGTCAGCTTGCCAATACGATGGGGATTGGTAAGAGAAAAAGAGGAACACTTCACCACTGTTCTTTACAGAAAGTAGAAAATGTCATGAACAGAAGAAAGAAATGATATTGCTTTTAGAAATGATATTATATGGCCTTGAAATGAGATATTTTTCAGTTATTATGCCATAACATATTTCTTTATTCCTTTTAAACATTTTATCCACTAACCCTCATTATTATATTACAAAATTATTTTACCTGAGCAGCGGCCACCTTCAAATCAGTGCAAGTAACACATGACTTAATTAAACATACAGAGATAATTTATTTTGAAGAGTCATTTCATTTAGTAACTGCTCACATCCAAGTAATCTTGTACTACAAATCATCAAATCCTAAGATGTTTTTTCTGGAAGAAGTCTATTTGTTTTTTTTTTGTGTGTAAAACTTGTTCTATTCTGATATTCCTTGTTGATATATTTTAATTGGTACTAAATGTTTTTCTTGTTGCATAGCACTGGGATGTTGTTGTATAATATTATGTCCCAATATGTTTCACATTTGATTACGTTATAGTTTGGCTCAATCCCTTTTCAGTGTAGTAACTCATTTCCCTGTTATGTGACCTGAACTCATTATTTTTTTCATATGTTTCCTAGAGTATCAGTCCGTTTTAACCGTTTTATTGCTGTGTTAATTTCTTAGATAGTCTTGAGATACATCATCGTGTCAGCACATAAAATATTTGACCCACTTGGTATAGTTTTATAGTTTTTAAGTCATTGTGTATTATTTTAATCCATTTTTTAGGGATTCTACTGTGACTATGCCAATGGCTTATCCAGTTGGTTCTTAATTTTATTGTTTTCTTCAATGAATTCTCCTTGCTTGTGGATTTCACTCATTGTTTATGGCCATAGGTCAATGCTTGCTTGTGCTGCAGTTTTGACTCTTTCTAACAATGTGTCACATTCTTCCTTTTCAACTGAGGTATTAAGTACCATTACTTTTCAAAATATTCTCTATTTCTATGCTTGCTTCCTTCCCCCTTCTCTATTGCCATCATCAAATGTATTTTAAAAGTTGTCCATCAATGCTCCTTTTTGTTAGTCTATTCTAGCTACTTAAATATTCATAGGCCTGGGGTAAAATGTCATGTGCCTTTACAACCCAAGGCTTGTGTCCGATTGTCTTTAAAACTCTTTTCTTTGACTACAGACTATTCCATTTTTCATGTCATAAGGTTTATGATGTTGGAGTTGTACGTAACATTGTTCTTCCTAAAACTTAATACTAAATCAACAGACTAGTCAAATCTATTGTAAAAATGTTTGATCAAGAGTAGTTGATAACTATTATTGTAAATTTGAGTGACTCCAGCTGTGAGTGAAGTTGAAGAGTAGGAAGACTTCATATAAATGCCTTTTTAGTTAATATCTTAACCATTTAAGAGTTAATGTTGAGTAAATGAGCCATTTCCTTCAGATGTTCTCTCCTTGTTTAAACATAATTTTATAATGAACAGGATTGGATTTTTTATTTTTGTTTAAACATGGATTCTGTTAAATCATTATTAAAGTTGTCATCAATAAACCATTGCATTTATATAAACTTTTAGATTGCCTTGTGCAAAATTATGTATTTATTTAACAGTTATTTACAAGCAGATAGTTATATTATTATTTGAGTTGACATTTGTGCGATATTACACGTTTATTCAAATAGTTTGTGTTTTATGATTTTCTAAATGTTAAGTTGTGATGCACCACTGCTAAGTAATCATAATCAAATCTCAAAACCTCTTGAAAAGTTCTTTCCATGATATGAGTCCTAATTTGATATACAGCTTTTAAATTTGGGTACTTGTAGTTCTGTGTGTTGGTGTTCATATTTTGAGATTTACTTGCAATCTAACACAGTTGAAAGGTTTTACTAACAAACTTATCTGTATAATAATGATAATAGTATTAATTAGTTAAATATGTTTAAAATTTTTTAAATACCGGTATATTAAAGCAATGATTTTATGTTAAAAATATTTTTTTTTTTAAATCATTAAGAATACAGTTTCCCTAATTCAATTTTTTAAGTTAATTGCTTTTAACCCAATTAATTTAAGTTGATTACTTTAAACCCAAGTAATTTAACTTAATTTCTTTTAACCAGAACTGAGTTAAATAGTATTAATTTGAAATTGTTTTGTTCAAAACACAACACATTTGTTTGTTTGCCTCTACTAATTCAAGCACCTAATTATTCTGACTAACTAGCACTACTAATTTTTGTCAATCTATTCTTTTCTTTGTTCTTGAAGTAATGTTAAAATGTGGCAAAAAAAATTCAGTACAGATAAAACCAAGTAGATATTGTATCTGCTATTTGAGGTTGATCCTTAATCAAAATTTGACTGTGCTTATTTTTTGTAATATTCTTAATTTAGACTTTTAATGTCGACAGGTTTAGCTGTGCATGGAAAAATTAGCCATACAAGTTTATAAAAAATAGAGTTAAGCAACCTTTTGTTCTACTTATGTGTGTACATAGAGCTTTGTTTTTGTTTCATCTCTAAATCCAAGTCATCAAATTTACTGTCTCATGAGGAAATGGTCATTTTTCGTAAATTAAAAAAAAAAATGTCCTTACATTATATTATATAGAGAATGTTTCAATGTGATATTTCAAACAGCCATATTTTAAATTACAGAAAATTATTGATTCCACTTTTCCTCTCAAGCTTTTTTTAAAAAAATGTAACTATGTTCTATATTAGTAATTAAAGATACTTATCAATGGGTATCAGTAGGGAAGACATTGATTGATTAATTGATTGGATATTTATATTGCGCTGGTAGTCATGCTACTTTAGCATTCTTACTGTGCTCTGGTGTTCTTAAATCTATTTAAACAAAAAAGACTTTAAATGTTTTTTAAATGATTTTGTATCATTTTCTAATCGCCTTAAAGATTGAGCTTAAAGACATCAAGATTCAGGCAGTTAGTTAGCACATCAGAGAATAAATATTATATCTAGTTCTAGTCATCTTATATTTTGCTGCACTGTGAAATGCATTGGCCAAATATTAATTTCAGAATTTCCCTTTCGGCCGGCCTGACTTTTCATTTTCCAGGCCGTGTCAAAGGATTGCTGTTGACTGCCAGTATTTTTAAGTCAATTTAGGCCGTCTGCTGCTCTTATATATGTACATGGGTAGGCTTGCCTGTTCTATTATTAACATACAAATAAATGTATTCTTTGTTGCAGATTCTGCTGCCAATATGCATACATTTGTCAAGTCAATCGTTTGGGGACCGATAAATAACTATTGTTTTTGTCATGCGCACATAAATAACTTTTTAATTCCATTCGGTCTGTGCACATTAATAACAATTTAACTCCCATTAGGTCTTTTTACAATTTGACTTGAACTTAAACCCAGAAAAATTTCAAAATTAATTTGTGTTTTTCAGGCTAAACATTCATTGTATTCCCATCAGTTGAGGTAAATTTTCTGGATTTCCTTTCAGTTTTGAAACCCTCATTAGAACATAAAACATGGAGGACCATAAAATCAAACTAACTAATGAATATAATTGCAATCAGGCTAGATATTAGTCTTGAGAAAAAGCCTTGTGTCAATTTTAAAATTTTTATTAGAAATTATGTGTTCATGTTCTTTATACACAATTTTCAAGTATTATCATTATTTGTTTTATGAATTTTAAAAAATCTTCTTGAAATGCCAGTATGAGTGGAGGAGTGATGGTTAATGGAATAAACTGAGTGGGAGTGTGACGGTTAATGGAATAAATTTGATAAGCAGTGATGGCAGTTAGATCCAAGTTTAATTTGATTGAAGTTTTAATTTTATGAATGTTCAAAAATAGAGCATAAGTTGCTTTTTTAAGTTTGAGACACATTGATATGTTTAATTAAATGTTTTATTTTGAGACATATTTAATTAAATGTTTCATTTTGAGACATATTTAATTAAATGTTTCATTTTGAGACATATTTAATTAAATGTTTCATTTTGAGACATATTTAATTAAATGTTTAATTTTGAGACATATTTAATTGTTGTTTTATTTTGACTATGTAAAATAAAATGCCAAGCATTATTTGACTAGATCTGTGGAAGTGAAAGATTGTGCTTTTTTGGCCAATTGTATTATGTTATATATTGTTTGTTTTTTTTAATGCTTAATGCGTAGGGTAATATCGTACATGTTAGTCAAGCAATTTTTTTGCATATTCATCAATTTTGAGCAACATGAAAGAAAGTAATGCAGTGCCACATATTTTGGTTATGGGTAGGTGTGTTGATATAGCAAAAATTGCATCTCCGTGTTTGTTGGTAACATTCTTTAAAAAAGCAACTATATATTATATATAATTATTATTATATTACCTGATTCATCATCATTAACCTGTATCGTTAAAATTGATATTTTATTTAGAAAACCTTGTAATAATGGACTCTAATTTTCTAACACACGGTTAGGGGTCTCACAGGCTTATACTCAATTGCCATTTATCTGAATTCATTGATTGGTGCTCTTTCTATCATTATAATATACACACATGTATACACACTTCATCATTACCTGATAATTGATAGGACTATATATACTCAGTCTTAAGGAAATATTTCAAGGGAATAATTGGGGTGGTAGGCTTATGTAATGGAAGATTTTTGTCCAAGTAAATTGTAGAGGTCCTAGTACAATATACAGGGGCACAAACTCATACACATTAGCCTTCCAGAAGCTTTGAACATCTGCACTTACCCCTAATTGTTTCATGGATTTTTTCTGATCTTGAAATAAAGTTTTAATTTTATGCTGTCAGCATTGTGTACCAGATAACATAAAAATCAAGACTGGGGTAGTGTCACCATTCAGGGTTATTTAGTCCCGTAACAATCTCATCCTAGATTAGATACTCTTTGATGACGCATTGCATACACTTTATGGGGTCGGCTTGTAAGCGTGATGAAAAGCTTTTTTTGCCTTTTCCCCATTTGAAACTAGAAACGGCTTTAGAGTGAGTCCTTCCAGTGAGTGATGTTGGGAAATTGAACTCTTCTTAACTCTGTATCCTTGCTATGTGGGAATAACTTTTAGGTTAGTTTTTTTTTTTTTTATGCTGTATGATGAAGTCACATGTATCGATATCCAACATTAAAAAATTAAACAGATAATTATTTGTTATATTATGCAGGTAGGTGAATCTGTCATTGTCACCACTCATGACACAACTGGCCATATGGCATTTTTACTAGAAATGTGGCCCCGCATAAATCTTAAGTTGAAACAACAAAATGTGGCTGCCAAGTGTCAGTGAAGCCATTGTGGCCCATTTTGATTGATTTTTAGATTTGTTAAACCCTGATCGTACCAGTGCTATTAATTAATCACTGCTTAAATGTATTATATTATGTGATGTCCAAGTAGGAAGAAATGTTTAAAAAAATTAATTAGACATATACATTTGTATTTATTGTCAAGAAGCTCACTAGAGATGGGGGAGAGAATTTCAGTCTTTCACAAACATAAATAATGGGACACAATCTGTACTCAAGTTTTTCTGATCTGATCTATACAAAATTTACTTAAGAGATTTTGATCATTGATTAGAATAAAAACTAATACATCCCCATATTAAGGATGTAATCCATCCAATATTAAGGATTTAATCCATCCAATATTAAGGATTTAATCCATCCAATATTAAGGATTTAATCCATCTTATATTAAGGATTGAATGCAAATCAAGTTTCAAAGATAGGTTGTACCTCTTGAAAACAATGCAGTTTTTTAAAGTTTGATTTCAAAATAATATATTTATACCCATTTTTTGGGTGCTTATTGGTGTGTGTACAGTTATGAAAAAAATTTGCATTTATTTCAGCTCTCATACCGGTACACTTCTTTAAGCTCCCATACCGGTACACTTCTTTACTGGACTCTAAATAAGGGCACACAAGAATTGAGCAAACACTAAAATATTTATTTGTATCTTGTCACAACGAAGATAACCGATTGTTAGTCCACTTGTTGGTTGTTATATTTCAAAATTTCTGGTCAGAGTTGTACTTGCTCTACACCTCAATTTATAACTGGTCAGTCGAGTTGTATTTGCTCTACACTTCAATTTATAACTGGTCAGTGGAGTTGTATTTGCTCTACACTTCAGTGAAGTCAACTCCATTACTCATGTGATTTTATTGTTTGATCCTCACTATAAACCTCTATCCCTAACAATGAAATTATAAATATACGTTTCAAAATGTTATCAACTATAAATGATAAAATGCTATTTGAATGTTACGTTACTTCATATCATTGGCGTGGAGCTGGAATAGAACTCATACAAAATTGTTCACTTTGTGAGTTGTTTGATTGATGGTCTAATAATAAATAAAGTATCGTAATTGAAAGCTTTTGTGGTGTTGATTTCTGTGAACTTGGCTGCTTACATAGAGTTAAACCTGGTTGTTAGACCCTGTTGTCAGATGTGGATGTTCCACAGACTGGTTGTTGGATGTGGATGTTGATGTTGGCTGTGGATGTTGGACTGACAGGATGTTGGACAAACTGGATGTGGATGTTAGTGCACTCTGACAAAATCAACCAACAAAGTCTAATTCTGCTTTGATATATTCAGTGGGACACAGAAAATGGGGCCTAATGCCTGCACTGACTGAACTTTATAATTAATAGTAATTAATAGAGCTTTGATATATTCAGGGGGACACAGAGAAAATGGGCCCTAATGCCTCATTGATTGAACTTTATAATTAATAGTAATTAATAGAGCTTTGATATATTCAGGGGGACACAGAGAAAATGGGGCCTATTGCCTGCACTGATTGAGCTTTATGATAGAGCTTTATGATAGAGCTTTGCACGCTTGGATGTTCTATTAATTAATAGATTTCCGCCATTAAATTACAAACCCTATAACTATATTCAGTCCACATTTCTAAGAACATTTCAATGTTTCTACCTACATTGTTACGGTGACAAGGTCAAGGTGACAACATTTTGTTAACAGATTTATTCAGTCTAGGTTAGAGATTCTTCTAGTTGGTCTGTGTCTTCCAAGTCTTGCCCCTCAATTCTAGACTGTGTTGATTTGAAGATAATGTACTCGTGGCCGATCTTATGAAAATTGATTGTATTGTTAGACTGTCTTAGTAGGTCAGCTCTTAGTCTTGAGATGGCTCGCATTTCCTGAAATAACATCAGAACTGATGTAAGAAAAATTTAGTTAGGCTTAGTTAATTAAGGCCCTAGATGCATCAGGGTTAGTGTTAGTTAATTAAAGGCCTAGACGCATCAGTCCCCGTCCTTCCCAAATAAAAGGAATTACGTAAAAGCTAGTTATCCTCTCTTGTGTCCTAACCCTAGTGACCCTAACCTTAAACCCTAACCCTATTATATTCAGATATTAATTAAACTATTGTATAGTATATTGACATGAGTTTGCATTCATTTGGTTCCTTGAATATTTCCATTTGAGGATCATTGCCAAAATATTGCAACAAGCGGCCTAAGCAATAATTTAATAGGCACTGCTGCCTATGTCCGTCTTAACAACATAGGAGGCCCTGGACATAGCAATGCACTGGGCCCCTCTAGCAACAAAACAAACCTAGGCCGCGAGAAGGGGGGGGGGGCAAACAGATCCTGCTCCCCAGCAACTCACCAAGACGAGTAAAAATGTAAAATAAAAATAAACTTTCAATAAAGTTAACTTCGATGAATTCAATTTATTGATAAAAAAAAAAATAATTAAAAATAAATAATAGTTTAAAAATCTGGGCCCCTCTAGCAACAAAACAAACCGAGGCCGCGAGAAGGGGGGGGGGGGCAAACAGATCCTGCTCCCCAGCAACTCACCAAGACGAGTAAAAATGTAAAATAAAAATAAACTTTCAATAAAGTTAACTTCGATGAATTCAATTTATTGATAAAAAAAAAAATCATTCAAAATCAATAATAGTTTCAAAACATTATCAGAAATAAGATATAAATAATCATGTAGACGAAGGATGATAATGATAAACTACTACCGCCGGTATCATTATTCATTATTGATATTGACAGATAGATGGAATACATTATTTAATATAAATCAACATAATCGTTTGCGTAATTTTTTTTTTGCACAGAATTGTTTTATTATTGGTTTAAAGTCAATGGTCTTTAGTGTGTCATTTGCCATGCACATAAGTGAAAGACAGTACCATTGTACTGCGAAGCTGATTCTTACCTGTTTCTTTTTTATTCTTATCTGGGGAAAAGTAAAATGTGTTGACGAGAGCTATTCCCCTTTAAAGTTTTAAAATATTCCAACTTTGATTCGCATTTTTAATATTAATTTTGGAATTACCTGATATATATCGTGGGTTAAAACTGGGAAATTAAAATGTTTAAATCCAATTAAATTTTCAAAATCTTTCAATATTCATTAAAAATATGAAAAGCATGATGTCTCTATAAGAGTGAGTCTCCTAGAAACGTGGGGCCCCCTACAAGCGTGTTGCCCTGAGCCAGCGCCCACTGGGCCCTTGCCTTAAGACAGCGCTGCTGCTGCCTTGCCCCAGAATATGATTATTCGGCGAAAGATAGATTTTTTTTTAACCCACCGACACACCCCCGTATTTTTCCCTACCCCACATATAGTCAACAGCACTGTTTAAAATAGGTTAACTAAAACTAATATTAGCTTTTAAAATTTCAGTGGGTCAATTTGAAAATTAATAAATAAATAAATATTTAAAAATAAATAGCTATTTAAAAAATAATCTTAGAAAATTCGCGAAATTCTAAATTCGTCCGTTGCCACCATTTGTAGGAAAGATTGATTCTTACGAACATTCGTTCATAAATAGTCCATGAATGTCTGCAATTCATTGATGTAGCGCTCTGCTCTAACCTCTGATAGCCTTGAATTCAAGCGCAGGACTTCGGCTCCAAGCTCTGTGTAACCCCCAGCCTCACGTTTCTCTTGTTCTCGACCATCCTGTGTATGGCCAACTGTATTGTCCTTGGTGTTCCGTTTATTCTTGACGCTTGTCAATGACGAGTCTACTGGATTGTGGCCAACAACACGATGATCAAATGAAATTCAGAAGAAAAAAAATGACAACACCATTGCATAGATATAGCTTAACCGGTTATTTGGACTGCTGTTATTTAACCGGTTATTTGGACTGCTGTTATTTAACCAGTTATTTGGACTGCTATAATTTAGCCAATTATTTGGACTGCTATAATTTAGCCAATTATTTGGACTGCTATAATTTAGCCAATTATTTGGACTGCTATAATTTAGCCAATTATTTGGACTGCTATAATTTAGCCAATTATTTGGACTGCTCGTTTGTTGTAATAATTTTGATTGATAATTGGCACTGACATGTTAAGGCAAGGGTGCTTTTTTAATTCATTTGAATACGAATTTAAAAAAATAAAATTGTAAGTAATTATAATGGAGATCAGTAGACAAGCCCCGAAATATAATCAGCAATGTTATTACTTGCTATGAACCAAAAAGTCACCTTTAATCATCCTTACAATGGTCTCATTACTAGTTTATAACATTATAGCACATTTTTCATAAATCTTATTATTTTTTTCTTTTGTTATGTCCAAAATTATTTGTATTTTATATTATTAGTTCAGATTAAACTCTCTTTTACCTGTAACACAACAAATTCCCCATATCTGTAACACAACAACTTCCCCATACCTGTAACACATCAACTTCCCCATATTTGTAACTTAACTTCCCCATACCTGTAAAGACTTCACTGTTGCTTCTCTCCGACGGCTTGAGACCCAGTCTACTTTTGAGTTGACCCCGACCGGGTCTTCTTGGTACACGAAGTTGGTCCTGGACTATCCCATTACGCGCCTGGCAGGTCGTTTCAACTGTGTTAAGTGACTTGACAAAGTGGACCTCATCCACACGGTTTCTGAGTCGGACCTGTACGGCAGAATACAAAGAAATGGGGGGGGGGGGGGGGGGATTTTTCAACCGAGGTAAAGTAACTGAAATTAAATATAATTGGCGGAACCATTGCAAATCAAAGTAGGTGTTCTATGTTCTATAGAGAAGTTAGTATGATATAGCTAATCAAAGTAAGTGTTATATGTTCTATAGAGAAGTTAGTATGATATAGCAAATCAAAGTAAGTGTTCTATGTTGTATAGAGAAGTTAGTAGGATATAACAAATCAAAGTTAGTGTGCTATGTTCCACAGAGAAGTTAGTATGATATAACAAATCAAAGTTAGTGTGCTATGTTCCACAGAGAAGTTAGTATGATATAACAAATCAAAGTGAGTGCTCTATACAGAATTTAGTATGATATAACAAATCTAAGTGATCTATACAGAAGTAAGCATGATATAACAAATCAAAGTAAGTTTTATATACACAAGTTAGTATGATATAACAAATCGAAGTATATATATATATACAGAAATTAGTATGATAGTATGATATAACACATCATACACCACTTGAACATTTAATTTTGTTATCTCCCTTAACAGCCCGATTTTTAAAAAAAAAAAAGTAATATTTTATGTGTGTGTAAAAAAAAGGTTGGTGGTGGGGGAGGGGGGGATAGCTCAAAGGGTTCTTGGGATTGGTTTATGGTGCTAAATGGACAGTGACCGAAAGAGTTTGAGAACCACTGGTTTAGACCAATATCATTTCAAACAACTGTGTTTGCTATCCATTATTTAGACCCTTACATTGAAAAGATGTGGCTCCTATATCGTTAGGACTTACCTTAGGAATAAACAAAATGCATAGCACCAGGGACGTACATAAGCTGACAAACACTGCGACGAGGATGAAGCCCAACGTCTTCCTGTCCTGACCAAGGGCGTAGGTGACAGGCACCACGAGAGCGCACACGATGGCGATGTTGTAGATGCAGAAGCCGATGAGCTGTAGACGGAGTTGATCGGCAGGAGTAAGGTTCATGGTCAGGGAGGATTCAACCGTTTGAAAGAAGAAAAAACAAAAGAGCTCAAGTTAATTGATGTAGTTAACATGATGGCTCTCCAGCTCAAAGAAAGCAAATTGCAATAGAAGATTCTAAACTAGTTCTCACAAGTCAACAAAACCATAGCTTTATAAACAGCGATTAACTGAAAATTAAATGTTTCTCCTTTTCTTTAATATAATTTTACGAAATCCCATTTTTTTAAAAAGATATGAGAATTTTATTTACACGCCCAAGCGTGGAGCTATTTTTTGCGTGGGTTTCTCACAAAAACGATGACACAGTTACCATAAACATTGCGCGTGCCAGATGTTACCTTGGAGTCGTTGAGTGCCGGTATTGTCACCATTCTGGTTTCCCAGGCCAAGAAAGCACCGAAGACCAGTAATAAACCTTTGTAAACATATTCAGCCATGTACCAGTAAACCTAAGACAATGGTGTTGTTTTTACGATAGATGAAAGAGAAAATATCTTAAAGTAATATCAGCATGTCACTGGTCACAAAGCACAATTAGGGATTTTTAACAGCTCTTAAATAGAAAAGCTGGCTGCTCAAAGTATCAGCTTAATTAAGAAAGAAATTAATAGAAATGTGATTTAAAAAAATGTCGTTCTTCATCTGAGAAAGTAGACTACTCTAGATCTAGAAGCATTTATTATTTGACTGACCAGGTTTCCGTTCGTCTTAAATAAGGTCATTCCTATATTTGATCGATTGACCGGGTGTCTAAAAGTCTTGCCTCATTTCAGTCCTATATTTGTTTCAATAACTGGGTGTCCATAAGTCTTGATTCATATGAGTGCTTTATTTGTCAGGTACAGCTGACAATCATGTTTGAAAGATTTTGAAATAAAAGGGAGGGGGGTCAATCTACTTAAATGTATACAACATAATTGTTGCATCTCCAAAATTATTCCTCAAATGCACGCTGAAAAAAAAAATTGTTTTGAATCTCACGCTTCATCCATACAGAGAGTAAACATTTGCTTGCTATCATAAGAGATACTCTACCTCATACCGGTGAGTGCAAACAGTGTATGTGTATGTTATTTGCTCATCAGTAGACTGACCCTGAAAAAAATAGTGCATAGATATCAACAATCTTTCTGAAATCTTAGCGTTCAATTCTGAAAATAAACTTAGTCCATAAATCCCGATTTAATAATAAATATTTATAAAAATATCCTTCCAATGATAAGTATTTTTAAAATAAATATCCATCCAATGATAAATATTTATATAAATATCCATCTAATGCTAAGTATTTATATAAATATCCATCCAATGATAAGTATTTATATAAATTTCAATCCAATGATAAGTATAAACTCAAAATAGTTTTCTATGGCGTTGTATGGATTAAATAATGTTTCAATACCTCTGTCTTTATTTGGTACTCTTCCTTAATCAGCGCAAACAGTGTGGACCAGGGCACCAGGATGGCCATATCCACCAACACAAGAACCATAACTTGACCAAACAATTGGCTGTCTTTGATAATCTGTATGATAGTATGAGCATTGTATTTCTCTAAAACGTAGGATACACTTTAATATCATTTATGAACAGACAGTAACCATTTAGTTTTAATCTCATTTAGCTGCTCTATTTCGGTCGTTGAAGCTACGTAATCGATTTGAACGTGGTGGATCCTTTATGTATCGAATCCGAGATTAATGTAGTTGCCGAGAATGACGTAGAGATGCCTATCAAACCATCGCTTCCTCCGCAATGCAACATTCCGATATGTTGTGATTAATGAAAGCAAGTGCACAAGATACAGTGCACAAGATACAGTGCACAAGATACAGTGCACAAGATACAGTGCACAAGATACAGCGCACAAGATACAGTGCACAAGATACAGTGCATAAGATACAGTGCACAAGATACAGTGCACAAGATACAGTGCACAAGATACAGTGCACAAGATACAGTGCACAAGATACGCACTCTAATTAGATTTAAAAAAAGTGTACTTTGTTTTGGTGAGTTGGTGAGTTTGTGACGTGATATTTTAAAATCATTTATATTAAATTCGCTTTTGTGTGTTAAGGACAAAATCTTTGGACGGTTAATTGACCCACTTCTTGTCAATCTACCGAGCTGAAACTTGGCACATAGAATCGCTGACGATGACAACACATTCGATCAAGTTTTCAGCCCCCACCACTAGCCCCTTAAAATCAGTATCTCCTGTTTTTCAAGGTAAGATGTAGGAAATAGGATGACACTGATTTCATGAAATAGATTCTGGATAACTGCGCCAAATCAGATTCTTTAAACAAGAAATTACAAGTGCTCTTGGTGCGCAATATTTTTTTTTTTTTTTTTTTTTTTTTTTGAAATAACTGTTGAAATAAATCTTGGGTGTAAAGTGGGTGACTCATTAAAATAGTAATAGATTTCAAAGGGGGGGGGGAGGGGGGTGGGGTGAAAAAAATGTACGGTTGTGAGGCTTTGGGGGGGGGGGCACTAATTGGGATTATTTTAAAGTGCTTACTTGTAGGCATGTTTTGACAAATGTTCAGCCCCCCCCCTCCCCCGCCCCCCGAGTCGATATTACATTTTATAAAGGATTGATACGGGAAAAAATGGTTTGTAGAGGTTGGTTAATTAAAGTTTAAAAATGACGTGGAGGTCTACGTCATCCATCTCTATTTACATCACAGAGCACAGTGACATCAAGACTATTAGTATACCCATGATCATGTTGCTACATAGGTTAGAGATGGTTAGAGATGGTTAGAGATGGTTAGAGATGGTTAGAGATGGTCAAACCCTAAACCCTGGGCCTCCATATCATTTTAAGTACCTTTCTTTTGATCTGATTATTCCTAAATAAGGCATGAACTCTCCAGGTCTTGGCAAACAGAGCCCCAAACGATAAGGTGAATCCTATACAAGCGAGCCACAGGCGGACCTACATGGAAACACAAAATTAAAAGGAGCATAACAACATAAATGAGAGCAACAATGATCAGACAAGGGGCATAATTTTCACTTGAGAAAAGGGAGGGAATTAAATATGAATTGTTCCCCTTAGCAAGAACCTAAGCTCACTTCACAGTTTTACAAACCACAGCTACATATTTGAGTGATGTAGGCTGATAAGATTTGATGATACTAAGTTTTGTAGGTAGATAATATGTGATAATACTACGTGATGGTAGGCATCTAAGATTATGATGACATTAAGTTACGTAGGCATCTAAGATTATGATGATACTGAGTTATCTAGAGCGCTAAAATGTGATAATACTATGTGATGATAGGCAATTATGGTATGATGATACTATGTGATGTGGGCCACTAAGATATGATAATAATATGTCATGTAGGCATCTATGGCATGATGCTATTGAGTAATCTGGGTAGCTAAGGTATAATGATGTTTAACAAAGCGTTATAGCAACCCATAGAAACGGGTTAGGGTTATGGTTAGGGCTAGGGTTAGGGCTAGGGTTAGGGCTAGGGTTAGGTAGCTAAGGTATAATGATCTTGACTAATCCAGGTAGCTAAGGTATAATGATGTTTAACAAAGCGTTATAGCAACCCCTAGCAACGCAGGATAATCTTATATCACAATGTGAAGAGTTCTTATGATACTACCATATAATAAATGGCATCATCACTACCATTATACTACTTACCATTCAAATTATATCATCGCTACCATTACTTACCATACTGATTATATCCACACTAGCACTGCTCGCTCACCATACAATTGACATCATCCCTACCACTACTCACCATACAGATGACATCATCGCTACCACTCAACCAGCAGGCGTAGTCTGCTGTCAGGACGTACACAAAGACGTACGTGAACAAACATCCCATGACGATGATGTTGTTTATGGACGGGCTTGACATCTTGATGTGTCTGGAAAAGTTCACAAAAATTTCCATAATACATAATACTCTGTATATATTAAATATATTTATATGATGTTCCCTTGGGTGATTCAGGTGTGTAGAGGGGGGGGGGGGGGGGATTCGCTGTCTAGGGAACCAGCTGACCCACAAAAAGAAAAGTCCCAAGTCTTTTGATTTCGTTCATAATACATAATACTCTGTATATATTAAATATATTTATATGATGTTCCCTTGGGTGATTCAGGTGTGTAGAGGGGGGGGGGGGCGATTCGCTGTCTAGGGAACCAGCTGACCCACAAAAAGAAAAGTCCCAAGTCTTTTGATTTCGTCCTGTGAAGTCTACACCATCGTCACATTGTGACAAGTCGACACCATCTCACATTGTGACGAGTCTACACCATCGTCACATTGTGACAAGTCTAAACCATCGTCACATTGTGCCGGAAGGACACTAGAAAGTATATATTTATGTATTTGTGTGTATGTGTGTGTGTACCAAAAGATTGAAGGCAAATTACGATGACAATGATAGACTTCCCAGAGGTCACATTAACCTACCATAGGTCACACTAACCTACCATAGGTCATATTAACCTACCATAGGTCACATTAATCTTCCATAGGTCATATTAAAACTACTTTGACTCATGTACTTTAGTTTTAATACCATTTGTTACCCACTTGTTATTCCTGTATATTATGTTAAAGAGAAGAAATCCAATCGCAACAATCAAGCCGATTGTGTTGATAACCAGCACGACGATAACAGCACTACGTTCAGGCGGCAGCTTCTTGAAGATGTAGCGAAATCTGTCTCTAGGGGGACGCCTGTCTGCAACACAATCAAATAGACATCTAGACTGTAGCACAATCAAATAGACATCTAGACTGTAGCACAATCAAATAGACATCTAGACTGTAGCACAATCAAATAGATATTTGGAGGATCACCCAGCAAAACGTTACAAATCGTCTGCTGTGTGTTCGCAATAAAGACACTTAAAGAGATTTGCAATAAAGACACCTAAAGAGGTTTGCAATAAAGATCGAGAGCAAGCCAATCATATCTATGTCTTAATTTATCTAGCCTGGCAGTTAATTTCTAATGGGGTTGTCGGTTGGGGGTGTGGGTTGGGGGTGTGGTGGAAGGTGGTGGGAAAGGTTTTGAAATCGAGGAGGCTGCGCCATTGCTAAAATGTTTAGAACCCCTGATACCGACGGTGACCCACCTTCAAAGAGGCTCGGCGTTGGAACCTTCCAGATGAGCTCGTCAAGGTCGTTCATGTTTCCGACAACTGTCTTTGAGTCGTTGTGAAACTGGGCTATCTGATGGGGGCCGACACGCTGGCCATGATTGTTGAAGGAGACTGTGCCCTGGAGTTTGATAAAACAGTTTCACAATAGTCTACACAGTCTAGTTACACAATCTAGTTGTACAATCTAGGTACACAATCTATTTACACAATCTAGTTGTTCATTTTAGGTACACAATCTAGTTACACAATCTAGTTGTACAGTCTAGGTACACAATCTAGTTCCACAATCTAGTTTTACAGTCTAGGTACACAATCTAGTTACAAAATCTAGTTGTACAGTCTAGGTACACAATCTAGGTACACAATCTAGTTGTACAGTCTAGGTACACAATCTAGGTACACAATCTAGTTGTACAGTCTGGGTACACAATCTAGTTACACAATCTAGTTACACAATCTAGTTGTACAGTCTAGGTGCACAATCTAGTTACACAATCTAGTTACACAATCTAGTTATACAGTCTAGGTAAACAATCTAGGTACACAATCTAGTTGTACAGTCTAGGTACACAATCTAGGTACACAATCTAGGTACACAATCTAGGTACACAATCTAGTTGTACAGTCTAGGTACACAATCTAGGTACACAATCTAGTTGTACAATCTAGGTACACAATCTAGGTACACAATCTAGATACAAGATATTAAACCGTACATCGGGTGGCGTAGCTAGGGGTGGTGTCATCGGGGCGGGCCAAGTTTTTCCCGTCCCCTTCCATGAAAAAACTCTGCAATTTATCGAAAATTCCCCCCTTCTTTTAAATAAATAAATGCCGCTTGGGGCGTGCCGCCCCTCCACCCCTTCCTACGCCGCTTCTTATCTTACACTCTTGTATAACTTGAAATAAATGGCTTATCTTTTGACCCTCCCATCTTTAAAAAAAAATATACATTTCCAGCAGGCGTTAGCAGAATAGAATCAAATTATGAATCTTCAATGCCGATATGTCGGGTACAATTTTTATAATATATATTTACTTACGTCATTCATTAAGGATTGATTATGTGAGTCCACAGATATTGTAACCCAAAAATAATAATAATGCGAAAATAATGAGTTTAGGTTGAGATGACAATGACATGATTATAACCATCCATGATGAGTTTTGGTTGAAAATACATGATTGAAAGCCTTACATAATAATAATAATAATAATAATCAGTAGAACAAGTAAAATAAAATACGGAAATCTCTTAAGCATTAGAAACTGGTCTCCGATAATTACATCAAATAACATTTTGATTGCAATATACAATGTCTAAATTTAATTCTTAGTTTTGCAGATTCATGTCTCATTTTTTAGTTAAAGCAAATACTTTTGTAGACGCCTCCATGTATGCTAACAAATTTGTTCCTTGGCGATTTCGTTCCTTCCACACATCCAAGCATGCATGAATCCCCCAACTTACCGACACACCTTCGAACGTCACTTCCTGAAAGCTCAGCAGTATGAGGTCAAACATGTCAGACCTGGAATAGTTGAAGTCTGCCAGACTTGTTTTGCTACCCAGAATTCCGGTGGAAAGTTTTTGCTGTAGTAAATAAATCAATATAATTCTTACAAAATGTTGGTGCATATTGGAGCTTCTGTGTAATAAAATGTTGGTGCATATTGGAGCTTCTGTGTAATAAAATGTTGGTGCATATTGGAGCTTCTGTGTAATAAAATGTTAAGTTTGGCACACCTACGTCATGTTAGCGTTAAGGCTAAAGCCCAGATTTACCTGCGTCATGTTTAAGGTTAAGGCTAAAGCCCAGGCAGCGTCGTAACCATATGGATGAGTTCTTGAAATGAGAACTTTTGATTTCTTCGCGAATGCATTCGCCAGTACATCGTACTCAGCGGCAGTCTAAGAAAGTGATATAACTGATGTCACAGTTGGAGACATTTTGGATCAATTGAGTACTTCACAAAATGACATAGTTGGAAATACCTTAGATCAAAACTTTCTGTGAAAAATGAAATCTTTATTTTTATAACAGATGCCGAGCATTGCTGCATTTTGTGAAACTTTTAATGCTGATTGCAATGAAGCAAAATTGATTACTGTATAATGTAAACCGTTTGACTGACTACATTATAGAGATAAAGACGGGGAGACAAATTCATTACTTACACGGAATTGCAATATGGAAGAATAACTCAACACTTTTTTCTCAAATAAATAAATATTGGAATAAGGGACGTTTAGGACACAGAACAAGTAAAAGGTTGTTTCGGCAAAATGCCTTCTTCAGCAGACGAGACAAAAAAAAAGAAACCACAAATTCTTAGAAATGAAAACCGTATAAGAGTAGTAAAGTGTGTGAGTGTGTGTGTGCTTGGGGGTGGGGGTGGAGTTAAAAAAAATTATTTTGGTGGGAAGGGGGTAGAGGTAAACAATTTATTTTGGTGGGGGTGGAAGTAAATAATTTATTTTGGTGGGGGGAGGGGGGGTGGAGGTAAAAAATTTATTTTGGTTGGGGGGGGGGGGGGTGGAGGGAAACAATTTATTTTTGAAAAGACCATTCCCTGACCGTGGACAATGCTGCGACATTTTTTGATGGAAATTGGTAAACAATTTATTTTGGTGGGGGTGGAAGTAAATAATTTATTTTGGTGGGGGGAGGGGGGGTGGAGGTAAAAAATTTATTTTGGTTGGGGGGGGGGGTGTGGAGGTAAACAATTTATTTTTGAACAGACCATTCCCTGACCGTGGACAATGCTGCGACATTTTTTGATGGAAATACATCCTTTGAGAGAGAGGGAAGAAAATGAATGTGAGATGGGACATTTTTGAAGTACAATATTGTTATACTATTTAAAATGTGGCTATATGGAAGAATAAAAGGTCCATAACAAAGGTAAGTTAAGATATGTTCCCGAACTATAGTGTAAACTTCCCTCAAGTGTCACAAAATATCCAGAGTCCCAAGTTTGGATTTTAATTTTAGAAAAAAAATATAAAAAATTAAGCTTTTGTGTTGTATCACCGTTGTTCTTATTTCTTTGATATGCCGAGTCTTAGTCCATCATTTGCTAACCGCTGATTTGATTTGTACCATTCAGTTTGTCTTAATCAGCAGAGCCTCAAAGTTTTACCTTTCCTGAAATAGTGAGCGTGTCAAGGTCAGGCCTCAGGTAAACATCGTCCACTACCAAATAGTTGCGACTGGCCTCCACGATTTCGTCCCTGGTGCAATCAATCTTTGATTTATTCTGACTGACTGCTGTGAAAAAAGACCTGATCCAGTTGTCGTACATGCTTGGACCTGTCAGAATCCACTGGTAGGACTTCCCGTACAGTCCGTGCTTGTACGCCTGCCAAAACAGAAAAAATCTCGGAAGAGCTAGAGCCCAATCCACGAACCAAACCTAGCCACAGTGATGTTTGTGATGAACCTAGCTCAACAATTCCTATAGTAAGTTTATACTGATGAGTTTCTTTTCATTTTTTATGTTACATAAATATTTAGATCTGGTTCCGTGAACTCTAAGTGAGAACCCTTCTGCAAACATTCTGAATGCAGTTTGTTATGTGTCTTTTTTTATTTATTTGTGCCAGAATGTTCGTGTGTCTGTGTGTGCAAATCTTTGCAGATGTGGCACTTTCATTAAAGAACAGTAACGGGTTCCTATTTCATCAATTCTTCGCTTTATCCGACACATAACCGACACATATCCAACATAAATGCATCACATATCCGACACATGTCCAACACATATCCGAAACATATCCAACACATACTCAACATATATTCAACTACTCTCTAAAACAGATCGCACTCTTTTAAAGAAATGCCATATCCACCGACTTGTCAAAGAGACTTATTTGAAAATAGTATCGGAAGTTAAATTCAGCTAAAAATAGGACCTTCCAATTCGTTTTTCTCTGTCTGTACACATTGACAGGATCAGGTCAAATGCTCTGTGCCAATTATAGAGTAGGAACTTGTACACAATATACGCCAAACACACCACTTACTTGACAGAATATGTACGGCGCTGTGTTGCTCCTGAACGCGGCCATGATGATCCTGGCGTCGTATTGCTAATGAGACAAGGAAACACAGGAACATTGTTAGACCAATTTATTACAGAACATTCTCATCTAAATATTTTGTTCCTGCATTTTGTCACTGAAAAAAAAAATAAATGCCATCAACAAAAGCTACACGCTCCAGGGACACTAAAGGTTTCATCACGTGGTCCAAGGTCACGAAAGGTTGGATCACGTTATCCAAGGAGACTAAAGATTGGATCACGTGCTCCAATGATACCGCATCTGTAAGTGGATCTAGATACTATTTCATATATCCTCAAAGCAATGTGCAAAATGTGAGTTAGTCGGTATGAGTCACACCATCACATCATTACATCAATCACGTTACATCTTCACATTACATCTTCACATTACATCATTACATCATTAAATCATCACATCATCATATCATTACATTACATCATCACATTACATCATCACATCATTAAATCAACACATTATTACATCTTACATGTTTTAATGGGCCTCAAAGACAGTGTTCAATGTATTTAGGATTGAGTCAGGGGAAACGTGATCTGTTTTGTCACCTTTGTCATTTATTTCTTAGAATTTATTAGCCTAAAACACTAAAAAAAAAAAAATACATTTTAAAGATAATTTAGTGATGTGAGGAAGATGGTTTAAGTTTGTGATGTTTATTTTTTTAAAAGATGAGATCTTTGTATAGATATGGGATTTTGTTTACAATATGGGATTTTGTTTACAATATGGGATTTTGTTTAATACAAGGAGTGCTTTACTTTTTATTAATTCAATACCAGATGCAAATGTTTTCACTTCGAAACCAAATGTTTGAGGGAGATAAATACCTTACATTTAAGGGTGAGCACCGTAAAAGAATTTAAAGAAAGAAACAACACTGACCTTTAACCTTATCATGTGTTCAGACACTTGCTCCAGATCCGTTATTATGGCTGACGTCACAAGAGTAAAATTATTTTCTGCCAATGACCGATGGAAACTTGTCATTTGCTGCAGCAAAAAAAAAAAAAAATGTGTAGTCATCTGGTTGTCATGGCAACCAGTGCTATCACAGGATTAAAAAGTGAATTTAATGAACATTCGATTTTCAACTGTCAATGAAGTGGAACTAACGGTGCTGGGGCAGAGACCCCTGATCAAGTAAATAATTTTCACAGAGGCTCTCAAACTGACGAAATACAACGAAATAAAATTTTAACTCAAATTTGGCTGTACAAACTTGATTACTAGTTAGAATAAACTAAGATATTCTAGATAGTTCTAGATAAGTATGTCCAACAATGGCGGCCGCAGTGCGTGAACTTCCCTTGTCTAGCGTTACAACACAAAACATGAATACACAAAACATGCATTAATGTAACGCACTTTAGTAGATTCCCTTTTATTTCTCCCCCCTCCCCCCTCCCACGTGTGCTACCGCTCCTGAATTTCTTTAATATTTTAATGAGCCACTGACTTTTACAGCACATATTTATGAAACAAACATTGTCTGTAAACAAAAGAAAATATTACGCACCATAACGCTCTTGCAATATTTTAAAGAATCTCATTTAGCGAATTTATCGGAAATTTTATTAAGTGAAATCAGCGCCATCTGGTGGCGTGAGTGACATTGTGACGTAAAGAATAATGTATTTTGATGCACTCAACTTTTGCTTGGGCCTAACATTATGACGTCATGTTTTAACATCGGACGGAAACGCATATTTGATTGTAGAGATGGCTAAAAATAGCTGAAGGCGCTTGAGGCAGACGAGATCTTGGTCGCGTCAGTGCCACAAATGACTGGGGCGGTAAATAGAGCACAGTATCAATTAAGTGGTTTGTTTAGTGTTTTTGATTTATGTTTTGATGTCAAGATTTTAACGCAAAAACGTTGTAGCCATGGTCTATTTTTGTACATGTGGTGACGTCATTTCCGCTTCTACTAAGTTTTCAGCTGAAGATAAAACATAATGAAGTTTTTTGTTCTCGTTTTGTAGATAAATTCAGTGATAAAATCGAATTAAACAGTTAGACAAAATTATGTATTTATACATTGAACCCTTAATTAACTTTTGTGAAGTCTTGAAATTTCTAATCAATTATTTTTTAAACTCAAACGCCTCTATATAAAAAAAAAAATTGTTTAATAAATCACAGAGAAGCACGGTCATAATAAGATACTAAAAACAAACGGATTGAAAGAAGACAAAGACAATGAAAGATCTACAGCTGCTGGAAGAGGTCAAAGACAATGAAAGATCTACAGCTGCTGGAAGAGGTCAAAGACAATGAAAGATCTACAGCTGCTGGAAACCCAAGCATGGAACAGAAAACATCAGTAAGTCAATGTGGAAAGAAGTGGTAAGGCATTCCCACGCCCTATGTGGGCTGTATCGGAACGAGGCTTTTGACCCTATCGGAACGAGGCTTTTGACCCTATCGAAACCAGGCCTTTGACTCTGAAAAGTAGGAAAGGGAAGAAAAAAAAACAAAAATGGACAAGTATAATTATGAAATAACGAAATAATGAATACCCAACTTACAGTTTCATGGAATACACTTTTACACACTTTATTTTAGGTTCCACCGATAATAAGATCCACAAAAATGAATGAACCACCATGAGGTCATACGCCAGTTCAAAGATGGCGGAACACATACAAATATTATAATTGGCAACCAAACAAATTCTAAAATTATAATTAAATGAACCATTTGAAAATTTAATAAAACCATGTCATCATCGTAATAATGAAAACGTAACTCCATTAATAAAAAAATAAGGGGAGTGAATCCAAAACAGCAACTTAAGCAAACACGCAAATGACGTCATGGTGTTATCTATTCTTATTAGCCCAAAGCCCTACATGGGCTATAGTGCCACAGGGATGGATGGATGGCCTGAGTGGACGGAAGTGATGAGACAGGCCATAGCTCTACATGGGCTGTAGCGGTACAGGGATGGATGGATGGCCTCAGTGGACGGAAGTGGTGAGGAGGCCGAAGCCCTATATGGGCCGTAACGGCACAGGGATGTATGAATGGATGGCCTGAGTGGACGGAAGTGGTGAGGCAGGCCAAAGCCCTACATGGGCTGTAGCGCCACAGGGATGGATGGCCTGAGTGGACGGAAGTGGTGAGGAGGCCATAGTACTACATGGGCTGTAACGGCACGGGGATGTATGGATGGATGGCCTGAGTGGACGGAAGTGGTGAGGCAACCCATAGCCCTACATGGGCTGTAACGGCACGGGGATGTATGGATGGATGGCCTGAGTGGATGGAAGTGGTGAGGCAGGCCAAAGCCCTACATGGGCTGTAGCGCCAAAGGGATGAATGGATGATGATACTTGTAAATTAAAGATGATAAATTGTTTAATGAAATTAATCCCGCCCCCCTCTCTACATCTTTCTTTCTATTGGTCAAATCTCTCTCCTTCAGACACGCGCTCTCCCCCCCCCTCCCCCGCGCAACCCTAGTCTTAGATAAGCCTCGTATTATAGAATCCATTGATTGCAATGATCAGTTGATCTGAAATAATGAACTGAACCACAATCTGGACAATGGAAAGTGCTGACGAACAAAGCGCTACTTTCCACTGAGCTCATTCCAAAAGATTGCATTCACCGAAATGGAATGTCTTACAATGGACTTGTATCTCCCGCACAAAAGAGTTTTGGAATTAAAAATCACGTGACAATATGCTATTCAACCATTGGTCGGTCTTTTTTTGTTGTTGTTGTCCAGATTGCGTGTTGATAAAAGGTAATGGAAAAGTTCTCAATTTCTATACTGGAACATTAACACAAAGACAAAGTCACAGCTTCCTGAGTGTCTCCAACCCCTTCCACCCCCCTCGCTCACACTATTTGTGTCTAGGTCACGTAACTTTAGCTCGACGATATTTATCAGAGCCGGAGTCGTACTCCAGAAGTCAGAACGATGCTGATTAGCTCCGCTCCATAGCTGATATATTGTGAAAAACTCAAAGAATATCATCCCCATTTATAAGTTATATTAAAAATGTCAGGACACAAAGCTGATTCAAGAACATAAAGCTGATTGAAGGACATAAAGCTGGTTCGGAACATAAAGCTGATTCCAGGACATAAATCTGATTCAGGACATAAAGATGATCAAGGACATAAAGCTGATTTCAGGACATAAATCTGATTCAGGACATAAAGATGATCAAGGACATAAAGCTGATTCCAGGACATACATCTGATTCAGGACATAAAGATGATCAAGGACATAAAGCTGATTCCAGGACATCAGGCTGATTTTCTGCAATGTTTACTTTTTTTCCTATTTCGCCATCCTCTTTTTGTTTCATTCTGCTTGCCCAGTAAAATACAACTGTTCATGACATAACAATCAAATGATGCGTGACATTCTCATGACGTCAAAACTCATTTGTTTAAGACCGTCCACCAGAAGTTAATGCATGGGACTCTAACGAGATTATTAGAATGTCCACCAAGTTAATGAATCTATACAAACGGAAAATTCGACATCCTGCTCTAGGGTATAACTGTAACATAGAACATTGGGACATGCGTAGTGTATAACTGGGACATAGAACATTGGGACATGCATAGTGTATAACTGGGACATAGAACATTGGGAAATGCGTAGTGTTTAACTGGGACATAGAACATTGGGACATGCGTAGTGTATAACTGTGACATAGAACATTGGGACATGCGTAGTGTATAACTGTGACATAGAACATTGGGACATGCGTAGTGTATAACTTTGACATAGAACATTGGGACATGCGTAGTGTATAACTGTGACATAGAACATTGGGACATGCGTAGTGTTTAACTGTGACATAGAACATTGGGACATGCGTAGTGTATAACTGTGACATAGAACATTGGGACATGCATTTAGGTTTAACCGAGATCAAGGTCGGACTGAGGGATTGCATTTTCACTGGGCCCACCAAAACAAGGTGCCCTCCGAACAGAGTGCCACAAGAAACCGGGTTAGGGCTAGGGACATGGTGTCACCAGAATAGATTTCCATCAGTGAAAGATGCGACCAGAGCGCAGGTGGCCACCAGGGCAGAACTCCAGCATTGGAGATTGGAGGTGTTCGGCGTCATGGACTATATTATAACACATCAGCTGCGGTATAGTAACTACATTGAAACTCAGTTGGACTGACGTCAACATTGATGGTTGTGAGTTGCATCTGTTCGACGTTAAAGAAACGAGTTGATTACCTGTATCTTAAAGTTGTGAAATTATTCGGCCGAAATTCTGACTTCAACGTGCATTTGATTTTTAATGGATATAGATAAAATAATTTTCTTTTTCTGAAATATATTACTACGTCATGAATCCGATAAAATTGGATAGTATCGAAGAAGATATTGTTTACTATAACCAAGTGCTTTCAAACTGTTGGACCACGCTACCGGACTCATTTTTCCATGACATCGGAGTGATACAATGTCTTGTTCTACAAAAGCAGTGTAACGTAAGAGTTCCTTTGCAATAGAAATCAAGCAGTGCATTAAATGACGTCACATATTCTATTGTTTCAAAGGGAAAAAAAAAGACTTGAGAGTTGGTAAAAGGCGAGATTCCTCAAAGGGCGAGATTCCTCAAAGGGCGAGATTCCTCAAAGGGCGAGATTCCTCAAAGGGCGAGATTCCTCAAAGGGCGAGATTCCTCAAAGGGCGAGATTCCTCAAAGGGCGAGATTCCTCAAAGGGCGAGATTCCTCAAAGGGCGAGATTCCTCAAAGGGCGAGATTCCTCAAAGGGCGAGATTCCTCAAAGGGCGAGATTCCTCGCCTTTTACCTTGCAAAGAGCTTCGGTTGTTTCATGTTTAAAAGAAAGCTTAAGGCTTGTTTAGCCTACTTAAGCCTGCCCCAAGCCATCAGATGGAACCTAATTGATGTTTTGTCAAGCTTCTATACATTTTGTCTTTCAAATCCGCTTTCTTTAACAAAGTTTTTTGTCTGTCTCTGACCTAGTTGGCCCATACCA